TTTACTGTTACATATATCAACTCAGATTTCTAACTTAAGCTTGAACTAATAACACTTGAAACACTTGAAGGACTTCATGCTTGAATTTTAATATTTTATGTTAACTTGTCAGCAAATAACTTTGTAGGCAGTACCTATTCTAGCTTCATTTTTATTTTATTTTATTTTATTTTATTTTAATTAAAATTGAGACAATGAGGAAATGAGGAATAGAATTCAATTACAATTATTTTAGCTAATCATACAAAATAAAACAATGACTAAAGGCCCAATTGCAACAGCAATAAGCACGAACAATATACCTAAACAAAAGGGGATGAAGTGCACTCTATATGGAGGGACAAAGATACCCCAACCAGAATTACTCCTCTTGGGGATTGACCTACCTTTCTTTAAGTTACGGATTGACGTACTTGGTACTTGGTAGTCTTCATTGGCACCTCTTCTAGCTTATTTAGTCATGTGATCTGAAAGTATACTGGGTAGCATTATTTTTATCATTAAATAAACATGTGAAGGCTGTTGTTCTTTTGATCAATGGCAGTTAAAATTCTATTAACTCTAACCAGTATTTTTTTTATAAAATTTTAAATCCTTACTACAGAGTATAATATAATACACACATTCACATGCATATATAAATTTATGTTGTGTGTCATGCAACACAGTTACACAGTATTGGTAAATGAATCAATTGCCTTTGTGAATTTGCATTCATGGATGGTGCATAATTCTTGACTGCAAAGTCAAATTTTCCTAAAATCTCAAAGGTACATTGTGCATGTTTGGTAAAACCTTATTTAATCTGATTCCTTGTATTGTGGATTAAATAATCAACTTTCTAAGGAGTAAAATTATGGATTGTGAGTTGTGCAGCACCTTTTAGCTTATTTAGTTTAATAATCTATAAGTAAATAGGAGCAGATTATAGATTCTTCACAATCCATAAATGTAAACCATAATCTTGTTTCATATTCATGAACTCAAAGATGGATACTTTGTAACACAGTGGTAATAAATAATCTTCTCTTTAAGTTATTTTACTAATTTTGTTCTTTTCAAGATTCCAACTATAGTGCAGTAGTTGAGCTCAGCATTTCAGTTGACAACCCCCCACCCCCAAGCTAAAGAACTAAATAAATATCTTATAAAAAAGCAAAGCTTTGAAGAAGAAGGCCATGTTTCAATCATATTTGGCAATTGGCACAATTGATCCAGTTATCCCATGTATTTAATTTGGAATTTGCATAGCCAATATGCAGCCAGCACCAAGCATTTAAAGTTCATTTGTGTGAACCTCCAGCTTATTTTACTAATAGTATTCTTCATGACACTTATGTTCTGCAAAATTTTGTTCTTTTCAAGATTTGTATACAGTGTAATTTTTGTTGTAGGTTGCTAAACTATTTTCAAAAATTCAAGAAATGGTAGAGGAAGAAAGCAATTTGGTATTCGTATTGATTGGTGAGGAAACTGTAATTGTTATTTCGATGCTTATTGTGCATTTCCCTTAGCATATATAATTCTTAGGATAACTCCTTTTTTAGATGAAGTTGAAAGTCTTGCTGCTGCTAGAAAAGCTGCTTTGTCTGGGTCAGAACCTTCGGATTCTATACGGGTATAATTATCTTGTATTTCTATCAGGAACTAAATTCAAAAAAAAAAAAGTGTGTTTCTATCATGTTGCAAGAATTTATTCATTGGCACATGACTAAATTTACAGGTGGTGAATGCGTTGTTGACCCAGCTTGACAAGTTGAAATCATCACCAAATGTCATAATTCTGACAACATCCAATATCACTGCAGCTATTGGTAGGCCTCTAATTAAACTCTGACACTAATTTGGGAACCTCATTACATGCTCTATCCCTAAAAATTATTTGTCATAAAAGAGGTGTTTTGTAAATAGTTGTTAGCTGATTGGGTTAGTGGGTTTGACTAGTTGATAGCATTAACTGATTGTAGAAAGATGTTTGGTAAATTAGCTCTTAGTTGATAACTGATTACATACAAAATGACTTTTTCAAAAAGCTTATCGAAAAAATTGCTTTGAGTAGCTTTTTGAATTTTAGTGTTTTGAAGCAATAAGCTGTTATAAAAAAGCTAATTAATCAAATACTCATATTAGTTATTTAACTATTTTACCAAACAGGGCCAAAGTCTTTTACGGCCATTGAATGATTTCCATGGTTTTTGGGTTTCTCATTTTCTTCAAAGGAAGAATGCTATACCCATCAGTTCAGTTTACTAAATGGATATCTAGTAATTCTACAATACTTGGATCTTTTGGGTATATTTCCCAGTATTTGGTAATTAAAGTAGAAATCTGTGGTAAAAAAGGGAAAGAACATTTGTCTCTAGTAAGTAGAGCAGGCTGAGCAGTACAGTGTAATCAGGAAATCAAAAGCATAATTTGATTTCTGATATGTCATTGACCCTTTGTATAACGTTAAGGAGGTGAGGGTTCCTAATCTCAAGTTCAAATACTCTTTTTTTTTTTTTTTTTCCAGATATAGCTTTTGTGGATCGGGCTGATATTAAAGCATATGTGGGGCCTCCAACTCTTCAAGCACGCTATGAAATACTAAGGTCTTGCTTGCAAGAACTCCTGAGGGCTGGAATACTATCAAATTCACATACACTGGTAATTTTTCTAACGAATTGTCAATTCAATGCTACCTCTAAGTATAATGTACTACTGATTTACTGACTAAATCAATCCGCAATATAATTTCCGTGTAGGGTGCTGAACAGCTAATATTTCCAGTTTTTTCTAGCTTGAGAGACCACATTGGCAAAGCTGCGACACCACAATCTCAACCACAGTTTCAGCTGTGTAAACTATTGCTTGAAGCTGCAGAATCATGTGAGGTATATGAATTTCAGGCTTGATTACTCGTTGAACATTGACTGCCATGAAATGAGGACAAACACATGGTCACTAACTCACTTCTGCAGGGGTTGAGTGGAAGATCACTCAGAAAGCTCCCATTCTTGGCACATGCAGCACTCGCGAACCCTCACAGCTGTGAACCCGACAAATTTCTGTACGCACTGATAGAAACAGCTAAACGCCAGCGATCAGAGGCGGCTGATTGAGTGTGCATGTCTGCGTTTGCGAAACTAATGATTAATGTCTGAGCTGCATGGTTCTCATCGGCACACACTAGCAGATTCCTTGGTGAGAAATGAAACGATATTGTGCTGCATGATCTGCATCTGAGCCAGGAACAACTCTATTCTGTGAATTTGTAGCTATAAACTTCAAATTCTCTGCTTCTTAGGATTGTAGCAGATAGACTATTGTAATAATAGATGCACAGATGTGAATTAGGTAGGTATACTCATATGTAGGTGTAGTTACAATGGAATTTTAACCTGATTGTTTTTAGTTGATGAAAGAAACTTGCAGTCATTATTCGAAAGTGTGTTCTGGGTAAGCTCCACTTTGTGATCCTAATTGGTAAAGATGAACTTGTGACATTGTGTTTACAAGTTTGTATTCTTAGCCATCTTGGATGGGGTTACTCCCACTTTTAACTTGATTTGATTGCCAAGAAACTGATGCTTAAGACAATTTGACCTTGTGTGTGTGTGTATGTTATGGCGTTGGTGTGAATGGATCGTAGAAACACCGTTAAGGAGCCTATTGATCAGACTCTGAAGAGTTTTACTATTCATATTTTATTTTATTTTTTGATTTAATTTTATTTTTAGTCATAAATTTATAAGTGATAATTCATTATTATTATTTTTTTTTAAACATCTTTGCTTGTAGTATTATTGTGGTTCATCCATAAACAAAATTGTTTAAATTTTATAAAATATGAGGACATTTAGGTATCTAATTATATTTTTTTTAAAAAAATATAAAATAAAAATATAATAAATTAATTCACTTTGTACAAAAAAGGTTAAAATATTTTTGTATTTACAAATGACCATAAATAGTCATAAAATAATAATACTAGAATTAAAAAAAATATTTTAAAAAAGACTGCACTTATAAATCTAGAACCAAAAATAGAATTAACTCTTTAATTATTCTTTTTGTCAATCAATATAGGTCATTGATGAGAGAAGTAACATTTTTTTAAAAATACAATTAACACTCTTCTTTCAAAAGTTGTCACCAAATATGACGTCAGTATTAAAGTAAAATGTTATATTGAAGTAAATTTTATATAATTTGAGTATTTGGCGTGGATTTGTTCAATTAATTTGTATTGGAATTGGCTAATTTGAAATAAGGTGTTTGGTAAATAGCTATTAGCTGATTGGATAAATGCATTTGATTAGTTGATAGCATTAGTTGATTGTTGAAAGATATTTGATAAATTGATTATTAGCTAATAGCTACATGAAAAATAATGTTTTTAAAAAGTTGAAGAAAAAGCTACCTTGAACAACTTTTTGAATTTTAGCGTTTTGAAGCAATAAACTATTACAAAAAGCTAATTAATTTAACATTTATATTGACATAGTGAGCAAATAAGTTAAAATTGACTGATAAGCTAATTATGTTACCAAACAGTTAAAGTATCTGTACTATAGTGTTTTGTTCAATCTAGTCCTAAATTAATTTTGTTTACTTTAGTCCCTGTACTTTTAAAAGCAAAACAATTAAGGACAATAGTTGATGTGGCGTTAGACATTATATCTGTCACGTCATCATACTTACATGTCAACTAATATATTATTTTATAAATATTTAAAATTAATTATTTATACCACCAATATATTACATTAATATGTTAAAAATAAATACATAAATATAAGGTATTGTCCTTAATTGTTTCACTTTTAAAGGTACAGGGACTAAATTGAGCAAAATTAAGGTAAAAGGACTAAATTGAATAAAACACTATAGTATAAGAACCTCACAGTAACCGTTACCAAACATGGCCTATAGTCAATAAATATGAATGTTTGAGACAAACCATTTGATAGGGTTATAGTCCTATAACCCGACCAGTCAAGTAGAGTGATTGCCTTGGATGTTCTAAACTTGCAAACATGGTGAGCTTTTATAGGAAGCATCAGACAACCATTTTATTTAACAAATACAGGAAATGTATGTCATACTGATAGATGAAAGTTTTGGGAAAGGAGAAGCTTGTAAATAGGAGGGACAAACAAGAATAGTGTGTCATTGTGACATGGTTAAAGGGGAAGGAACTCACTCAGGTTTTGAAATAATCCCTCTACACTAGACTAGACTAGACTAGACGGTAGCGAGGGGGATAGGTGTGGCATCGGGAGCAGGGGCAGGAACATACCAACCGTGGTGAATCTCGACTGCTTTCTTTCTCCTTGCAAGGCGAGATTTCCTCCGTGCTCCTGTGTTCCTGTGAACTGCCCCTGTCTTGATTGCTTTGTCAATGGCTGAATACGCTTCTGCAATTAGTTTCTCAATTTCAACAACTTCGTCTTGCTGTGCATCACGTTTCTTCCTCAGTGCATCTAATGATTCCAAAACCTGGAAAACACCAAACATAAAAATTGAGTTTGCAAGAAAATCATCCAAGAAGAATCAACACTAATTTAAAGATAAACCAAAAACTGCTCAATTCATAATACAATACCGGTATTCAAGTTCAAGTCCACGACTCTTATCACTCATTGTCTTTGACTTCCAAGTACAAAACAAAATGATGGGATAAAAACAAGTACAAATTTTTTAATTGCAACTTTTAAAAGAACTATCAGTACCACTATCTTCTCATAGTGTTGGGTAAAAGAGCATTTAGAACTGCTCTTCTTTCTTGCATACTAATATCCTTCAAATCCACTTAACTTCTACCTAAAATAGCAGATCATCCCAATTTGTTCAAAGCCCTTGACTATTGAGGGGGATACAACAAATAGATGAAGTTTTTTAGTTTTTCCCATAATACATACAACATAATGATGATATATACATTTGTTATTCCAGGCTTACAATACCATACAAAACTTATTCCCCAGTAGCAAAATCAACCTGCTTTGGAAGAACACTTCACCTTCAATTGCGGTTGCAATAACCAAAAGAAAATTCGACGGCAAATTATACCACCACGGACCATGTATGAACGATACTGAAGGTTCATTATTAATGTATGAATGATCATTTTTAGATACTAAACCAAATAATGAACCTTCAGTATACTAAAAATAAATCTTAAAAAATGACCATTCAATGTATTGAAAATGAACCATATGCAATTGGAGTAGATTGAATTTGGACAACACATAGCCTGATCAATCATTTTTTCATAAATATACCGCAATCACATTCAATAATGTAACTAAGTATTTGGAGTATTTGAATGAAATGTAAGAGTTTAGGAATTGGGTATCCCACCTTCCTCATACGAGTTCTGATCTCAGATTTCTTAGACTTATTGAAAATACGCCTCTTCTCAGCTTGTCGTGCCCTTTTCGCAGCCGAATCCGCCTTCTTCGGCGGGGCAGCTTCGCACACGATAGACCGGCGAAGCGGCCTCTTCTGCATAGGGCTCAGCGAGACAGCCCCTGAGTTAATTTTATGCAAAAATGAGAAAAAAAAACGAAGAAACTGAAGAGATTGAGTGAAAATTTGAGTGAGTAATGAATGTTTACCGTGGGAGAAGAGATTGAGATTGAGCGAAACGTTGGCCGAGAAGCTGAGAGGTCTGAAGAAAGCAGTGGTCCTGCGGTGGGCGGTGTTGAGTGAGAGACTCTGGAATTTGGCTGTGAGATTCCAACAAGAAGATGAAGGCATACAAGCTGCGGCCATTGCTTATCAGTTGTGTGTTTAGTGTAGCTGACTGGCTGAGGTGAGGTCCGCTGAGTCGATGAAGTGAGGTCTCTGAGCGAGGCGTGAAAGAGTGACCGCCTGGCGGAGAGCGTGAGGGGCAGAGGCGGTGAGAGACGAGGGAGAAATGGTGAACCGTGGTGTAGAGGGGGAGAAGCAGAAGCCGAGAGAAAGCCCGAGCCCCGAGAACAGAATAAGGGATAAGGTATTAGGCCTATCCTATTTGGTGTTTTGTGTTTTGTACTAGCTATTACATATATATTCATACATTGGGTCAAAACATAAATGAGTTGTTTGGTGGGGTTTTTTTGCACTTTTGGTCATATGACTATAGTGACATTATAAGGATTGATCTGTGACTTTCAAATCTTGTAATTTTAGTTTACGATTATTGTTTTTTGTTGCAAAAAATGGTCATTTCGGGCAATTTTTCATCAAAATCTCACCGGAGAAAAAATTCCACATTTCAAGCAAGGATAAAATAAATATTTACATTGACCTTGCAATCTCAGACCACTGTTGACTTCTTATTCTGACCAAAGTGCGAAAAAATCAAATAAAAAAAAAAACAATTGTCAGAACGAACCCTAATCTGCTCTCATCTCATCAACGATGTAGCCATTATATTTTCCTTCAAAATAAAGAAGATGAAGATCGACAATGGATGTCGTGTTGAAGATGGCAATCGGTGTTTTCCTCTTGTTCGCAGATGGGTTGATGAGATGAGAGCATATTAGAGTTCGTCTCTGGCAATTGATTTTTTTTTTTTTTGATTTTTTCACATTTTGGTCAGAATAAGAGGTCAACAGCGGCCCGAGATTGCATGGTCAATGTAAATGTCTATTTTATCACTTCTTGAAATGAAGATTTTTTTCTTTCCGGAGAGATTTTGACGAAAAATTGATCGGAATGACCAATTTTGCAATAAAAACAATAGTCGTAGACTGAAATTGCAAGGTTTGAAAGTCGCGGATCAATCCTGTTAGTGCCACTATAGTCGTGGGACCAAAAGTGCAAAAAATTCTATTTGGTAGACATGAATTGCATTGCAATTCCACCATAATTTTTTGGTCACTCTAATTACAATGTTTGATTAGAAGTGTAAGTGTATGATTTAATACACATTAAAACTCTATAATAAGTTGGCTAAATTTATTTGACAATATTAATTAGAATTTATGTTAGGAAGTCAAGTGGACCATTTTCTAGCAAGTTTTATTAATCTTCGGTCAAAGGCAGAAAAGGATTTGTGGTTTACAATTTAAAAGGTTTGATTTTGTGTTAAGCTTGTTAAATAATTTATGGATAGCATTGGTTCAAAGAAAATGTCTTGCTCATGAAAAGGCTTTGGTGTGGAAAGATTGTTAGACAATTGCTATAAAAAGAAAGCATCATCACATTGATTTGACACGGCTTTCTATACTAATTTTATTAAGGAAACATTTCACATTCATTTGCTTTACTATTGTGTTGAGAAAGTGCTGCAACATTCAGACTGGATCAGACTCAGCGGCTGCTTCAGCGTAGATCACTTGAAGTATTCAATGACATGCACATACCAGTTTTGGTTGGATGGTAGAAAGGTTGTAGTGGTTGTAGTGTTGTGTACAAATCCCTTGGTGAACATCTAGTGGATTAGGCAGACGTGGGTTGCTCCGCAGACATAAGAGGTTGGCTTTGAATTGTGTGATCAATTCTGGTGTACTTGATTTAATCTCTTGTCTTTTTAATTTCGTTATTTAATTTCGTTAAATGACTTAATTAATTAATACGGCATTATCAAATCTAAAATCAAGTAGAAAATTAAGGTATAATTTGAATTCAAGATTCACGGCACTTTTTCAATTGGTATCAGAGTCTGGAGACTTAAATTAATAGTCTATCGATCTGGCTATCCCGTGCTTTTTGAACTCAAGCTCTCAGTCTCTCAGCGGCTTTTAGTGCTTTTATTTTTTTTATTGTTTTGTTCAATCTCACAGTGTGTTAAGTGTTTCAAGATGGATGGGTATAAGGTTCTTCCCCAGTTAACATGTGATAACTATGCCTATTGGAAAGCACGCACGCGAACTCATCTGAAAGCTCAATGAGAACTCGTTTGGCGTTCTGTTCTAACGGGATGGACGCATCCTACTAAGGCCGGAGCTAATGCTGACGATCCACTAGTGACTAAACCTGAAACTGAATGGACTCAAACAGAAATAACTAATGCTGGATATAATGATAAAGCACTTGACACAATTTACTCATTGATACATGAAAGTCAATTTTCTTTAGTTGCAGGTATTGATTCAGCAAAATGTGCATGGGAAGCACTTGAATCGACCTACGAAGGCACAAGTTCAGTTAAGCAATCGAAGTTTCAACTGGTACAGTATGATTTTGAAGAATTTCGGATGAATGAAGATGAAACCATCACGAGTTTCCATAGTTGTGTGCAAGAATTGGCAAATCGTGCAATGGTCCTCGGCGAGCCCTTTCACCAACCAAAGCTGGTCAAGAAAATTCTAAGATCCCTACCGCCTAGATTCAGAATGAAGGTCACGGCCATTCAGGAACATGACAGTTGAGAAAATAAGACCGTGACTCAGTTAATGGGAAACCTTCGAACATATGAAATGAAAATTCTCACCGACCACACTAAAAAGCAAAAAACTGTAGCCTTTGCAGCTGAAGAACAAGATGCTGCCTCTGATCAAGGGAACCAGGTGATGATCCAATTGAGTTTATAACTAAACAATTTTCTAAAATTTTGAAACAGGTTTTACAAAAGAATTCTCGAAATAACAAGTTTAAAAAAGGATCAAGCTCGAATGCATCAAAAAACGGTTCCAAATCTGGCCCGTCAAATTATAAGTCTTCAACCTCTCGTCCAGCCCATTTCAAAGACAAGTCCAGCAACAAGGGGATTAGGTGCTACGAGTGTGAAGGTTTTGGTCATGTCCAAGCTGAATGTGCCACTTATCTAAGGCGAAAGAAGTATATGTCAGCCCTAACCTGGAGTGACGATGAACCTGAATCAGAAGCAGCTGGATCTGATGTAGAAGAAATATCTGGTAATTTTGTTGCATTCACCGCCAGAACTGAAGTCCTTCCAGAATCTGAAGATGTCGCTAACTCAAAAGGAGGCGAATACAATTCAGCTGAAGATTTTTATTTACCTGCTTTTATGAAGTATAATTAAAAAAATTGTATCCCAAATAGGAAGCCTTACGCAAAGCTAATCGTTCTTTGTCTAGTAAAATAGGGATATTAGACAATGCTAGAAAAGTATACAAGAATCAAGTAGCTGATAGGGATCTATTGCTTAAAGAAGCTTCTGTCCGAGAAGAGAAGCTAAAGTAGGAAGTAAATGCTCTGAAGTAGGAACTGAATACCTTCAGGAAACAATTCCAAATGATGGATACTACCTAGACTCTTGACAAAATGCTCGATTCAGGAAGACAATCTTCTACAAATTTCGTCTAGGCTTCACCGGTGGCAACAACAACAAAGACAAAATCGTCTTTGTCAAAGCCTCTGGACCAGATCCAGAAGATATTACTGAGTCAAGTTCAGCGAGACAAAATCACGGTAAAGTATGGGACAATAAACTTAGATATAAACGTTATAACCCTATTTGTCATTATTGCAGGATTCGAGGCCACATCAGACCTGAGTGATCTTATTTTTACAAAGATCAAAGGCGTGAGAAGTTCACCCACAAACATATTACACCGTTTGTAAAACAAGTATGGGTTAGGAAAATTGATTTCGACTCTCAGACAATTTCTAAAACATTTCAAATTGATAATTGGCAAACTGCTGTTTGAGGGTTGCAATTGAAAATAACAGGTATGTTAATTTACTATTTTATTTTATTTGTTATTTCTATTAAGGTTGTTTGTTTTTCAGGAACAAGATTAATACTTTATCAAACAAGGGATTTTTTTTTTTTGCTTTGACTTCTAACCCTTATAATTTTTTTGCTGTATCAATTTGATTCAACTTCAAGTTTATGTATGCAATTTGTGCTTTCATTATCTGCTCATTTAAATGTGACTAAGATGATTTTTTCCTGATATTATGTGCGTACTTGTATTTGAACTTGTTTTGTATGTTTCTGTGTGTTCATTAAATATCCCTATCGTTTGGTCGAATATTATGTACCTATTTATGTATCATAATAGTTGATGCCTGGATTTGAAATTATTGATTGTTTTATGTTATCTGATTGATTTTCCTCTGCGTTATTTGTTTGGTCCAGTCATGACAGTGTGTGTTTTTCGTACTATCTGTTATGAATCTGTACGTGAATCTGCTTTATATGAATTTGTGTTTGAATGTGTTTACTACTTGGATATGCTTTATTTGCTTTATCTGCTCCAACTTGATTTTTGTGTCTATATGTGCTTATGTGTTATTTGCTTAATTGTTATCAAGTTCTGCGTTTCTCGTTTCTAATTTTCTTGTGCAGGTTCAGTCCAATCGGGCACTCCGTCAGACTCAATCCACTATAGATGTTCACCTTTGTCAATTTATTGGCAAAAAGGGGAAGTATATACTAAGGGGGAGTATGGAGTATGGTTGGAATAAGGGCGAGAATTATGATTTTTGGGTAAAGTGTGTAATTTCAGCTGCTTGGGTTGGTATGTTGATTTAGAAATCTGGGTAATTTTGGTTTGAAGATTGACAGTTTCTTATTGAGTATTATCGTTGATTGTTGATTTGTAAATCTGGTAATTTGGGTAATTTCTGTTCGAAGATTGACAATTTCTTATTGAATATTATCGTTGATTGGGTTATTATCTTCTCTATCTATTATTGGATTATGGAGTCTGTTAAAAATGTAGTCTTGGTATTTTTTATGAATTGATGAATGCAGTCTGTATGGATTTGGTTTCATGTGGCTATATGTGGGATGATCGAAAAATGTGGTTGGAAAGATAAGTCTTATTAATTTCATCTTGAGTTATTATTGGTGGTTTCCTCTTATGGACTATCTTTGTGATGGACTATCTATTGGATTATCATATTATGGTTATTGTATGGATTTGAGATAACGGATTACCTATTGGATTGGTTATGGAAGCTTATTTCATCTTTGCGAGATTGCTCGAAATTGCTCGCTAAGATCCTTACTGCCTAAGAAAATCCTACCTCTAAGTCGGATGATTCTACTGATTTTGATGCAGATGTTGATTTTGATGATGCTGTCTCTGTCCCTGTTGCCTCTTCTCGTTTGGGCACCCCATCAAC